CCGTTCGTCCGTCCTACCGCCCGAGTGCACATGCACTGCCGAATCGTAACATACCGCGTTCCGTCCGTCCGATATAAACTACAGCGGTCTTCTTTGTGTGTAACACCGAATCCCGAGTTGAATAAAAGGAAGGTTACGTGTGCATTACAAACTGCTTATTGTCTCTGGGCCATCTATATCGAACCCTGATCCAGGCGAGCTAGTCCGCGTTCGATACGAAAGATAGGCCGTTACAACATTTATTTATAAGCTGGCGAGGTTATGTTGGGAAGAGTTAAAAAGAAGGGAGAAGGAAGGGAGAGAAGGATCAAGCTGGGAGCGGGAGAGAGGAAGTTTCTTTGAAGACAGGGGAGTGGGGCCGAAAGAACTGGAAAGGCTGAGAGAGGGTGGAGAAGAATGGTATAGAAAGCTAATTGGAGGAGATAAAGAGAAGCAAAGGAAAGAGAGATGGGAAAAGATCGAGGAATCGAAATATAATAAATGGTACAAAATAATAAAAAGAGAGGACATTCCGGGATATCTGAAGAAGGGTTGGGGAGAGAGTAGGTGGAGTAGGGTGGCGAGGTTTAGATTAGGGAATGAGATGAGAGAAAGCAGGTACTGGGAAGGGGAAGAGAAGAAGAAATGTAGGATGTGTGAATATAGATAGATAGATAGATAATATCTTTATTTATAACGCGCTCCAGGATAAGATCTTCTCAAGCGCAAAAAATACAGATAACAAAAATACAGATAACAAAAATATAGAACTGTAAACACACTACAAGGTAATTTAGAATCGGAAAAGTTAACGCCGCTATGTATTATGCAGTATACATGTGTAAGCCAACATATGTGTGTCAGTGCTGTGTACGCGCGTGTGTGAGTGTGTGTACGTAAGGACTCATGATTTCGCTCTTAACAGATAGTCATAGCGCTCTCTTGAAAGCACCCAGCGTCTCAGAATGACGTATATTACACGGAAGACTATTCCAAAGTTTGGCCGAGTGATATCTAAATGACCTTTTATAAAATTCAGTTCAACATAAAGGCAAAGATAAGGTGTCGCTTGGTGCCCTGGTATCTCGCTGAGTCCTGTCACATCTAAATTTAAATCTGCTGTATAAGACGCTAGGGATCCCAGAGCGCAGAAGAGTAAACGTCAGATTGCCAATAAAATAATCTCGTCGTGAACTCAACTTTAGCCACCCAAGCGCAGGCGTTGAAAGCCCGTTGAAGCCTCAAGTTTTGTTCATCCGAAATATCCGTGAGAGCAGAGCAGCAATAATCAAAGAAAGGCACTATTAAAGCAGAGACTAACCGCACTCGCAGTGGAAACGGCAGTAGGTTCTTGCACAGTTTAATTTTGTGTAATGAGGCATTAACTCTTGAGATCGTCTTGGACACCTGTTTCTCCCATGAGAGTGTGCTGGCAATTGTAAGACCAAGGCAGACCACAGAATCACTGTACGGTATTACAGTGTCGCTGACCAGGATGTTAGGCAGTTCACCACTGTAGACCGTGTTAACATACCTCGCTGTTCCCATAATCATCGCTGTGGTCTTTTTAAGATTCAGAGCCAATTTATTCTTGGTGGACCACTCAACAATCCTCGAAATGTCCTGATTAATCTGCTGAATGGCTGTCCTCAAGTGCCTAGGTTCCACATGCAAGTATATAAGAAGATCATCCGCATAAAAATTATAAGAACAAAAACTCAAGACTGATTTAAAATCCAGTAAATAAAGAATGAACAAAAGAGGTCCCAATACCGATCCCTGAGGAACCCCGGCAAATATTGTTTTCGCCGATGATTTGTCACGCGAGACCGGATCGCGGACCGCCTGCTTCCTGCCGTCTAAGTATGCTCAAATCCAACGAAGAGCAGAGCAGGAGAAGCCCACATTCCTTAGTTTGTAAATCAAAATCTTATGACAAATATTGTCAAAAACCTTGGTAAAATCGAAAAATACGACTATGATAACCAATCTTGCATCCGCTGCCTGTCTCATGTCATCCAAGAATCTTATTAAAGCCGTTTGCGTTGAGTGATCTTTTCTATAAGCCGATTGGTCGAGGGTGTCGGATGATACAAGATACTCCTTGATCTGGTCAGCCACTATTCTTTCCATAATTTTAAAAATGGCACACAGGATTGAAATCGGTCTATAATCCCGCAGTTCTGCAGGACATTTTACCTTCGGGATAGGGCTAACCACCGCCATCTTCCACAAGTCAGGATACACTTCCTCCTCCAGACAATAGTTGAAAATGTGCACTATCACTGAGAGAATGCATGGTAACCCAATCTTGATAAGTTTCGGCAATAGACCTTTATCACCAACTGCCTCCGATTTATTATCCTTAAGAGCCTTAAGCACATGGGTGGGCTCGATATGCTTCCAGTAAAATTTTATGTCGCTGTACTCTCCCTCACCTAGATAGTAGCCGTTCCCAACATCTTCATCTCTGTTTATGGACGGTGAAGAGCCTGAGAAATGTTCGTTTAACTCCTCAATAGAAAAGAGCAGTTGTTTGTCTGTAGTTCTCGCTTTGATCAGGCCAAGATATTTAAGCCTTTTCCATATCAAACTCAAATCTGTAAGATCATCAAAAGCAGTCAGATAATACCTGCTCTTAGCATCATGTATCAGATTCTGCGTCCGATTTCTCAGAACTCTAAACTCATCATAGTTCGCATCCGTTCTATTCCTTCTCCACCTTCTTCTCGCCCTGTCCCTCTCCCTCATCTGATCTCTAATGTCACTCGTAAGCCAGGGTGCCGGTAGGTGCTTCGGACTAATCCTCCGTATAGGCGCATGCCTGTTGAAACATTCAAGCAGATACTCATTCAGAATCCCGACCTTCTCGTTGACATCATTCACATCAAATAAGGCACTCCAATCACAGGTACCAAGCTCCTCGAGGAAACGCTCAGAATCAAAAGAACGGAAGTCCCTAACTTTAACGCTCCGCTCCTGGAAACAACTAATTTTAAAACCATACTCAATATACACCATGTCATGAGCCGAAAGGAAGTTAACATCCTGTTGACCGTAAGAGATTAGTTTATCCGCATCATCTATAATACATAAGTCCAGCCACGTAGAAGACACGCGCGTGTGGTAAGTGGGCTCATATAGCACCAAAGAAAAATGCATAGTGTCAACAAAAAACCTGATAGATTCGGTATCGTAAGACCGAGAATTTAGGTCAGCATTAAAGTCTCCAAGAACGATCGCGTGATTATAAAGGGCAGATAAATCAGCAACGATGTTGAAAACCTCCGATAGGTAGCCGCAGTGTGGAGGCCGATACACGACCACTAGAAGGAACTTGGAACTCCAGTCCGTCGATATCTCAGCCACCAAGTATTCCGGTCTACGACAGTATACATCCTCCGAGTGCCTCAGCGTCCTAGCTCTCAATTGGTCACATATATAGAAGGCAACGCCGCCACCCGCCTTGCCTATACGATCCTGCCTCACGATGTGGTATCCACGTAGAGATACCATATGGTCCGGAATGGATGGTCTTAACCAGGTCTCAGACATACAGATGATATGGTAACCCGAACTTTCAAAAAAAGATCTAAATTCATCAAAGTGGGCTAATAGCGACTGACAATTTACGTGACAAATACGTAAACAATCCATAGAGTTAGCCATAATTAATACAATTAATTCTGTCCGCTAACCGCCTGCGTAAAATAGGACAGCATTTGCTGTCCAAAGCTGAATGTGATGGATCTTCATAAGTCATCTACTTCTTGCAGTTGCCACACACCGGCGCTACGTTCCTCCTCGTGCAATCCTTCGTTTCATGCGCTCCAGCACAGTGACCACAGAGTGAAACAAATCTATAGCCTTTCGCAAAGTGCCCAAAAGCAAGACATTTGAAGCATTGCAGCACTCTCACATGATCCGACACTCTAAATGCATGGTAGCTCACGAAGACATGCTTCTCCTTGAGCAGCACTGTACGGATATTTGGCAATACCTCGACCACGCAACTTGTGGTAGCACGATTCTCTTTTGCCGGATAAATGTAGACTATCTTGACCTGCGATGTATCTGCTTGTAGCATGTCCTTCAAGTTTAATGCAATAATCTCCGATTTTAGATCGTCTCTCGATAGGCTACGGGGAACACCCTGCACCAGTAGCCTTGGGTTGATCTTGCTTTCCTGCTCCAGTTTTAGTCCGGTTTTTTCTAGGACCCTTGAGTTTTTCATCCTATTAAGGTCCACTGTGTGCGCCTCAATCCTGATACCATTGTTTCTCACTGTTGATATTCTTTTTACCCTAAGATTGAAATTCGACGGTTTCAGAATTTTCTGGACAACGTTTTTTGTATCGCGAGCAGATGTAAGCCTAACATTCTTCTCTTCTGGCGTTATAATTAAATTTGTAGTGTTCGCAACTTCCAACCTAGGACCGCGAGCCACGCATACTTTGGATTGCCTCATGCTTAGCGCGGAAGCATAACTAGGAGCTGCACGGGCCTCCTGAGACAAAGACTCATGAGATTCAACGCCGCTCCTACATACAGAGGTACGTGCCAGCAGAGAGTCGCAGGCCTCTGTAACAGCACAGCAGATAAGGCTTTTCATTTCGTCCGTCACCGCAGGAACCGACATTCTACTCTCAAGCAAAGTTAAATACGCGGTTGAAATTTCGAGGAAAGCCTCTTTACACGCCCTAAACGCAGATTCAATCTGTGCCCTCTTGTCCAATGACTCTTTGCTGGCTAACAATATTTTACTGACATTATCGTTATGTCCATTAATAGACTGTTGCAACGCACTAATCTTAGACGCATTTAAAGCGCACGATCTGTCAAGCACCGGCAGCCTAGACGCAGAAACACGTCTTCCTAGTCCCTCTTTGTTTACGCTTTCGCCCGATGACACACCGCCTTACTTCCCACCAGACGCACCTGCGCCCCTTTCCGACACACCGCCTTCCTTCCCACCAGACGCACCAGCGCCCCTCTCCGGCATCTCCGTGTTGCCGAAGCCACGATGAGTTCTAGCAACTTCCACAGCTCAAACCGATAAGAAAATTGCAAGTACCTCAATGCAGCAAAAATCCAGGGCCCATCCAGAAGTAAAAAAGCAAGCACAGATAGCTTTGAAACGCCAGGCACTAGAAAAAGAGGCCCCGCAGGGCGGCAAACAGCAGATACAAGCCACAAAATACAGAGCAAGCTAATACACGTCAATCAGTACTCACAGACGGCCAGAGAGGCAGAGAAGCAGAAAGAGATAGAGATACAGAGAAAGAGGGAGAGGGAGAGGGAGAGGGAGAGGGAGAGATTGATTGATTGATTGATTGATTAATCGTTATTTATTAAACGCTCTGGGACAGGTCCTCTAAAGCGTTAAGACAGTGTTACACAATATACAAAACGCGAAAAAACATACAACGTTGCAATATAATTAGGAAAATAATAGAGATAAGAGAAAAAAAAGTATATATAAATATGTATATGAAGAATGAGCATATAGAGCATATAAAGCATACAAAACATATAAAGCGTATAAAGCATATAAAAAAAACAACAAAGCGATTACAAATAAAACATTGCATATAAAGCATATAAAGCGTGTAAAGCATATAAAGAAAACAACAAAGCGATTACAAATAAAACAAAAAGCCCTCTTAATGCAGGAGTATGTTCAATTGTGAGTCTGCAGTGATTGCTGGAGCAAATACTTGTAGAATTTATGCTTAAATTCGCGAATGGAAGAAAAATTGCGGATGTCGAGTGGAATGTCATTCCACAGTTCAGCAGCTAGGGAGCAAAAAGAGCGCTTGAAGAACTCCGTTCGGCACAGCGGAAGGTTAAGAGCGCTGCCCTGGGCCCTTGTATCGCGCGAGGCAATATCTCGCTTAAACACGAAATTACTGTAAAGGACCTGAGGTTTTTTCTTCCGCAACACGGAGAAGGTCAAGTTCCCCACAAAGTACAAACGTCGGAAGCAAGTTCTTAGCCAACCAAGTCTGGCTAAAAAGGGAGTAATGTGCTCGTCCCATTTGACCTGGTAAATGAAGAAGCGGACACACTTGTTGAAAACTCTCTGCAAACAAAAGTCCTGCTCTCCTGTGATATTGGTTTGGACCGAGCAACAGTAGTCAAACAGAGGAAAAACGAGAGCCATGATGAGCCTAATGCGTAGAGATGTAGGCAGGAGATGCTTGCCGAGCTTCAACTGATACAGCGCCGAATTCACACGAAAGATCGTCTTACGATTAGTGGTTTGCTCAGTCCAGGACAGTGTACTGGTAATGGTAACACCCAGGTATTCCACCGTATCCGAGAAAGGAATAGTAATGCCGTCTACGATAATATGGAGTAAGGCACCCATCTCCAGGGCACTAATATATTGCTGTGTCCCCATGGTCATCGCTCTAGTCTTCCTGGAGTTAATCATGAGCATGTTGTCCGTACCCCAACCCAGAACCCTACAAACGTCCTCGTTGATGCGACAGATAGCCTCACAGAGCAATCCTGGATCCGTGTGGAAATAGATCATGAGATCATCAGCGTAGAAGTCATACTTGCAATGCTTCAGAACGATCCCGAAGGTCTTCATGTAGAGCACGAAGAGTATGGGTCCCAGCACAGAACCCTGGGGCACTCCTCCACGAACCGATCTGCCAGATGACATCTTTCCGGTGACGGAATCGCGCACAGCCTGCACCCGATTCGTCAGGTATGAGCAGAGCCATCGCAAGGCCGAGCAAGAGAAGCCCAGATTTCTAAGCTTGTTGATCAAGAGACGATGGCAAACATAATCAAATGCCTTGGTGAAGTCGAAGAATACAGCGACAGTGATCATTCTCTTGTCCGCGGCCATCCTGATATCATCCAGGACTCTGATCAGAGCTGTCTGCGTAGAGAAATCCTTTCTGTAAGCCGACTGAAAGAGATCCAAGATGTCACGATCCTCGAGGTGACTCACGATTTGATCCGCCACGATGCACTCCAGAAATTTAGACATTGCGCAGAGTATTGAGATGGGCCTGTAATCGTTAAGTTCTGCCGGGCGCTTCACCTTAGGAATCGGACAAATAGAGGCGCACTTCCAGATCTCCGGGAAAACGCCGTAAGTCAGACAGAAATTGAAAATATGAGTCAGTACCGGTAGAATGCAAGGGAGCGCCTTCACCACCAAACTACGGGGAAGTTCATCCCTACCCACCGCATCCGATCGGCCCATACGAATAGCCCTGCTAATGTCTTTCGGTTCAATGTGTTTCCAATAGAATTTGGAGTCGTCATATACCTCTTCGCCTAAGTGAAAAGTCTCACATGTGCCGGGATCAGAAATCCTGTTGCCCGTAAAATGCTCGTTCAACTCGTCGACATCAAAAACGAGTTTGTCCGCCACAGCTTTAGCCTTCAAAAAGCCAAAATGTCTGAGTTTTTTCTAGATGTAATTATATTTGTTGATGTCAAGGACCGCCCTATGGAAATATTCGGCTTTGGCCCTCCGCACTTCGAGCTGCACCTGATTTCTCAGACGCCTGAAATTATCATAATTAGCATCCGTTCTTCTCCTCTTCCAAACTCTCTTTGATTTGTCCCTAGTTTTCATCAGTGCCTTAATTTCAGGCGTGAGCCATGGCGCAGGCAAATGCTTTGGTTGGATGACTCGATAGGGAGCATGTTTGTCGTAGCAGGTCAGAAGAAAGTCATTGAGGATCCCGAGTTTAACGTCAATGTTGTCAGCTATGAAGAGATCCTCCTAATTCTGGGCTTCTAAGTCAGCCAAGAAGTCTACAAGGTTGAACGAGCGGAAGTCGCGAACACGAATGGTGCGTCTAGGAACACGCTCGATCCTAATGTCGTAGATGATTTCAATGAGACAAAAACAAGCATCGTGCTGCTCGTGCCCAATTAGTTTATCCGCTTCATCTATAATGCACAGATCAAGCAGAGTGGAGGCAGTACGTGTGTGGTGTGTGGCTGCAAAGGGCACAAGAAAAAGCTTCGCTGCACGCACCAGCGATAAGATCTGCTCTGAATCGAAGGTGAGAGAGCAGAGTTCCGCGTTAAAATCTCCAAATATTACAGAATGCTTATAATTCACTGACAGGTCAGAAAATGCATTTAAAAAGGTCTGATATAAATCCACTATGAGGAGGCCTATATACGACAGCAAGCAAGATTTTGGAGTGGGAATTGGTAGAGACCTCCACAATCAAGTATTCAGGCCTTCCATGACATGTTCTCAGACTGACACAGAATCGTCGCCTGAAAAGTGATAGGCACATATATAGCAACCCCCCCTCCAATCCTGCCAACGCGGTCACATCTTAAGATACGGTAGCCGTGAACAGAAACCAGATGGTCGGGTACGTGAGGTTTAAGCCAGGTTTCAGAGAGACATATGATGTGATACCCTGAATCAGTGAAAAAGGACCGAAATTCGTCAAGGTGTGCAAGCAATAACTGGCAGTTAACGTGACAGAGACGTAGGTGATGCGCAGACTTAGCCATAGTTTATA